AGGGTGAACATCCCAAACCACCTGTTGTAGATAGTCATGTAGAGCTGGCGCATTCAGCCGTTTAAAATTCCAACGCAAATTATTGTTGGGATACCTTAGCTTAGTTTTGATGACAAAACTGAAGACTATGACGGCATGATCGCTCTTTCCCAGAGGAGCCGGGATTGAGAGGTTGTCGACTAGGAATTCTTCGTTAGTGAATACACAGTCTAAGCGCGATGGTGTCTGACTGTTTCTCCAACGAGTTGCCGACCTCACATTTTCATACAAGCCCAAGTTATCGATGAGGTTGAAGAACCGAGCTTCAGTTAAGTTGTCGCCTCCAGTGTACGTGTGTTCCGCGAAGTTGACTCTAGGGAGATTAAAGTCCCCTAGAATCAGGATGTGTGTGAAACCGAGACGGATAGAGCGGGATAGTCCTTCCAGCATACGACTATCGTACTCGGTGTCGGCAGTTGGCTTCCTGTAAATGACTCCGACTAGACACCTCGAAGTACTAGACAATCTTACAGAGTACCATATGGATTCCTCAAGATTGTTAAACTCGAGGTTGTGAACTTGGTGCACCTCCAAGCAAGAGCTTATGTATATGGCTACTCCGCCCCCGATTCCTGTTTTTCCGTCGTTGCGGAACAAAGTCATCCCAGGTAATGCTAACTCTTGGCCCGAGAACTGAGAAGATATCCAGGTTTAAGATATTCCTATCAGATGGGCCTTATTAGTGTTGCTAAGTTCACGTAATTCATCCAGTTTGTTTGGTAGACTCGCGGCGTTCATATATAAGCAGTTTATGCTTTCAATTTGGAACGTGTGAGCTTAGTCCTGTTTTTCTGTGTGAGCCTTACGTGAATGAACAGGTAGCCCACCTATATGAGGTTTGCCGAGGTGGTAGGCCCTGTCCTTTACACGTTTTTTTTTATCGTTTAGACAGTCCACAAGTGGAATGGTCAGCTCCAACTTGCCTTTGTTCTTGGTCCTGACTTCGTATGGCCTATCCGGGTACATGTGGATTCCAGGTGGCAATCGACGTCTATTAGCACGAAATGCTTCCAGAACTGCAGCCGCCATGTGGGAAGATGGGAAGGTTATCTTCACTAGACGGGGTCTAAGATCACCGTCCTTCTTGGCTAGTCTCGTCACATGCTGAGTCAGTATGTGTTTGAGCCTCAAGGACTGTTTGATGAATTTCCATTCCCTGGTGTCAGAATTTGATTGAGTAGGGTCTGCGTTTTCCGGTATACCTTGGACAATTATGTTTCTTCCGCGGAAAAACTTCTCGCGAGATTCTTTAGGGACGTTTCGTATGATATTGCGCTCAGAGTACGGTATGTCGGGCAATATTCTTACGTTACCATCTGATTTCAGTAAGTGACTTGCTAGCAAGACGTCCTCTACGTCGGTAGCATTCTTAAGTGTTACTCGGAGAAGCCTCGGGTGATTTAGATGCTTAGAATCCTTTCCTCGAGTGAGCCGGGTGACCGTCAAAGGCTCTATTCTAGGAAGTTCGAGCTTCTTGTTCAATTCACCCCACAGCATCCTGTCGTTTTTGTCCTGCAGACTGAGAGGAAGGTCAGGATTGTCAACGAGGTTCATGATAATGAGAGAATCGTCACGAACTGTTGTTAGTTTACCAGGTTTCACGATGGGTTCAGGTTTAATAACTTGTTGTTTGGAGGTCAGTGTGCGTTTATGAATCTTGGGCTCTTTATTGACCGGACGAACAGTCTTGGGGGTAGACTGTACGACTAAATCACCAGTTATTTTTCGTGCAGCAACACTTGGGTTGCTCGGCTTTGGCGGTGATGCCTGGTTCTTTTGGGCTCTCTTAACGTGGGTCGAATCACCTGCAGGGTTTTTGGGAACCACTGTTGTGTTCAGGGACCCTGAGCTGGGAGACCCGAGTTTGCCTAGGGAGTCTAGTACCGTCGACGTAATGATGGTACTGAGCCTCGACACGTCGTCATTAGTGTTGATGGATGCTCCATCGATGGTATACCTATCGACATCCCTATTTTTGAGTCCGTTGCGCGCTCTTGTTTGTATATCGGTTTTTTTACTATCGCATTCCAAGTTAACTGACAGCTTGTTCCGAAGACCTGTCAGTAGGACAATGATGTTACTCAGCAAGACTACTGCGTCCGTGCTGCACGTGACACATTCCCACTTTTGGTCTGACTTGCTGAGTCTGTTGTAAGCAGTTGCTGTCAGATTTGTGCATGCTTCGTGGAACCAACCTTTGCAGTTGTCGCACTGCATGCCAGTTGTGACAGCAAAACGGCATCCCGGACGTTTGCATGAGTTTTTCATGACGGTGTTGAAGCAAACTATGTTATAGATGCTTGCAAGAGCCTAAGACCTTTTTTTAAAAACACTAAAAAGCACACTGAAAACGGACAAAAATGGACAAAACGAGTGATATAAACTGAAACTAGTCTATACGTGAAAAACAAAAAAAACCGAATAGTAAGCTGAGGCAAAACCACAGGTAACTATTAAATATAGTGAAACTCAAAAAAAGTAATCTACCGAACGTATAGCTCAGGATAGATTCTTTAGAACTGAAATGGTACTTTTGTTGCGTAAGAACACAGCAAAAGTTTGATATATGCAAATCACGTTAGGACTAAACTTCCCGTTCGAAAAGCGCGTCAAGGTCATTGAACCGAATATTGGTATTTCGGCCATTAGAATGCACTTAGTTTAATTATGTTTATGCTTAGTAGCACTTAGACCGAATAACTGTTCACCATGGTTAACTAATCAGGTTGAGGAATTTCTTAAACGTAGAAGGAAGCATTGGTGCATGTTCATATCTATAGACTATACGCAGTGCGGATCCATTTATTGTAAGATCAGGGAAGCTTACAAAGAGTTAACAAGTAATGCTAGACATTTATGTGAAAAACGATTGGTGAGAAATTGTGAAAATAGTCCGAAAACGTTGTTCTCACGTATGGAGAGTTGAACTCAGAAGAGTGACAGGCCCAATACTTTTGATTCGAGAAAATCCATTGATATCAGCAAAAATGACGTTTCAAAAGCTGAATTTTTATCAGAATATTTTAGTGAAGTGCATCTCATGGATGACGGTAAAAGATCAGCAGTTAATTGTCATAATTGCAACTTGTCTATGGGTAGTGTGGCTATTGAGAAAGGAGCTATCTCACGTTTACTTCAACATCTCAAGATAGATTATTACAGTGGCCCTGACGGTATTCATCTTAAAATTGTGGAAGCCCTGCTGGATAAAAGTGAAGAATCACTGGCGATACTATTGGATATGTCTTTGCAGCAGTCCAAACCCCCCAGCGGGGGGTTGAAACCTAATAACCATCGGTCCATTAGTCCAACAAGTACAGTCGTCAAACTAATGGAAACGATTATTCCGTTGGCTACTTTCAACTATGTGGAAGGGGATAATCTTTTAGCCAGATAGTGGTATGGTTTTAAGAAAGACCTGTCACGCTTGACAAGTACGCTCCTTGTAAGAGGAGATTGGAATGCAGTGAAAAACAGAAACATTCTGGTAGGTGTGCTTTCTATAGATCTGGGTAAAGCCTTTGAAATATCTCTCATTTGGGTCATAAATCAAAACTGCAAGTTATTGGTATCCAGTATAAAATCATAAACTGGGTAAGTGTCTTTCTCCATGATATGAGACAACGGGTATGAGTAAATGAGGCTTTCTTAGCGTGAGAATATATAAAAAGTGGAGCTGCCCAAGGTACAATCCTCGGTCCTCTTCATTATTACCTCGTGTAAATGATCTATCAACTGTAGCAAAGTCATCTTTTCTACTCTTTGAAGATGACATAAAGATTTGGAGATCCATACACAACATATCAGACAGAAAAATATTATAGGATGACCCAAATTCATTGGTTGAACGGATGAACAGTTGGCCATCAGAAGTTAACCCTGACAAGTGTAGTGATGGAAATAAATAAGTACTAAGATTCTTCTCACTACACAGTTTGTGGAGTCGCGTTACCTAAAGTAATGGACTACACAGATCTAGGAGTCATAATAAGCAACGACTGCAAAACTATGGACAGCAGCCAAAGACTTCAGGGTCTTATGGGCTGTTTTTTAAGCCTTTTCAATGCTTAGACAAATAAATGTTTAGGGTATTATACCCAAATTTTGTGAGGCGGCATTTGGAATATGAGATTTGAGCAGTGAGTTCATGTCTCGAGTATGAGGCGGACATGCTAGAACGAGTCCAACGACGAGGGAGAAAAATGGAAAAGGGTCTTTCTGACCTATCCTACGGAGACAGACTGAGACACCTTCACTTATTTCCGTTGATGATGTCACAGGTATTCAATGTTTGACAACGCTTCTACCAGTAACACCTTCTAATATATTTCGTTCCCACCCAAAAAAATCAAAAGACAGAGTCGAGGAGATCGGAGGAGTATATTTGGCGATTACCAATATATCGGAATTCTCTGATCTAATCTGGCTAGTGATTGCGGTTGATGTTGAGCACGGCGTTACCACACGTGATCTAGTGCGGATGCCTGACCGAGCGCCTTCAGCTAGATGAGTCCACTAAAACATATGGTCAACATCCAATGTCGAAAACTTACAGAGCTATTTATTTTGGGTATTTATTTACCGCTACACCGTTATCTTACTTCAGATTACGGGATGATCTAATGTTGGTTTGTCATATACTGTACGACGATCTTAGCATTAATATGCCTTATATTTTCCTTCCATCTAGAACTGATAATTTTGGAGAAGATTCTGTAAAATTTCAGAAACCGAGGCCATATCATTTACGTCTGGAGTTACATTTCTCAAACTGAGTAGTGAATTACTGAAATTCTCTACCAAAAACACGTAATATCAGCACCTGTTGATTCATTTAAAGTGAGATTGAACTTCCACAGTGCTACAAATTGTAAGGATTAGTATAGGCCAATAAACCTCCTGTCCTTACTACTGAAGACTGATATCAGGAAGTTTGTAGTTTGTATAGCGGTTATCTGGTTTTTGCGTTACACGTAAGCCACCTGGTCAGTCTGCAGTTGTAACCTGTTTCGTGGCTTAATTCTAGCTTGACTTTTCATATGGATAGCTCAGTACTGGATTAGCATGTAATAGATTATTGTCGTGTTTAGGTTTCAACATCGTTTTTTCATGATAATGGTAAAACTGCGGCCTTCTGAAGTAAACATAGCGGGGAAGTGTAACAGAACACGAGGGGAATGATGACGACATTTCCTAATAAACTTTGGCGTGGATGACGGGGTAGCTCATTGATTCCTACCATGGTAAAAAATTGTGAGACTTTTCCATTACATGTCTCCCTGGCGGAGCAATTTCTCGGGATTTACACCATCTAGTCTACCTACATTATCACAAAAGTAGCTGTTTCTAATCCTAAACTTCTGGTAGATAAGCAGACTTGAAACTATCCACTGTTAGCCTTTACTTCCACAAGGAAACCAACTTTTCGACACAACTGACCAAATTCGAGGTATGATGCATGTATTAGAAGACATCTATTTGCAGAAATTTTAACGAATGTTTTCAATAATATTTAGGACGTTTAGGTGCCGACATGTTCTTGCTGTAAGTGATAAGTATGATTATTATGATAGGAAATCTTAAGAAGGTAACCGGCACATTCGTAGTTTATCAATAAAATTATGTATAAATAATGAGGTTCTGCTATAAACGAAATGGAAAATCATGTGGACTTCCCACGTACGTCTAACTTACTGCCATGTAACACATAGAAGTGAAAGAGTTGATGTGTGATGTATGCGCACTACGAACCATAAGTATTGTCTAGTGAGTTCTAAAATGTAATAGAAATTAGTCTGTGTAGTGAAACTGTGCTTCAATATGCTTAATGTTAAAACATAAAAACACAAGGTGCAGCTTACAGTGATGTTCGCTAAAGTAGTACCGTGCTCCTAAAATTGGAAATAAGAAGTTACCTCTGAAGAACGTTACCTACATTGTCACTCCTACGGTAGCTCTCATGAGCCTATCTTTCATGTCACGGAGATAACCTTGGATTGGGGTGTTGTTCAGTTTTTCAAGATCTTGTCCAGTTAAACGTAGAGATAAAAATCATGATGTTAGTGCGCCTGATTAAAAATAACAGAAGTGTTTCTACTTCGTATGCTATTATAAAATCGGCACATCCGGAGAGCATTTTTGCTGGTAGTACTGATTAGTGTTTTTGGGTTATCACCCATCAGCCTTTTCGCCATCATCTAAAATTTTAAAGGATTATTAAACATAAGTATAAGAGCCACAACAAATCTTCACTCTGGTTGTGTAATCATTGTTCTGGCTGACAGCGTGGGAGTGGTCATTTCCCTATTCCCTTACCATTACGAACGTTTCTCGGTTATTTTCAATAAGCGAATTTATGTGTTAAACGTAGCACTATTTACCTCAACTTCAGCTATGTATTACAGGTTGGTCACGTGTTTCTATGTATTTATTCAGATTATGTAGAGAACGAGATTACATAATTAACGCTATCTGAAGCTAATAATAACAAGCTGTTTACTGATATTAAGATACAACACTACAGAACTCTTGTTCTTTCTATAGGAAAATAGGACTAGCGTAATAGTAGAAGAAAACGATCCATTCTCCTAATGGTATGTCATTATATATGCAGAGAGATACGACATGTACAGTTTCGAATCGAGGGAACGTAGACATATCATTCCATTTAATTTTCTGGTATTGCTTACTTAATAGCTCAACACTAACATACTGTTTTCGAACTATCATCATTCTTGATGGGTAAATATTTCAAATCATGGCCTCGGTGAGAAATTCTTTATTTCAAATCTACGTGACCTTACAAGTGGCTATGCTCAATTACTCGATTAGTTTAGCAAGAAATTAGTTGTCGGTTTTTCTATTTCAGGAGGTTGGCATTTGTCTTTTCCACTCTCAATGATAGTGATGTTCAGTTCATATAATAGAACACAAATATTGCAAATACTAAATACTCACCATTTTGTTGGCACTGAATCATCTCATCTTACTTTTGGTAGTTGTTACTTATCTGAATTGCCTTATTGGGTCATTTTAACAGAAGCTAGGAGCTTCTATTACAAGTGTAGATTTGGTGTCATAAATTTGGACACTTCAGGATATATAAGTAATTTAAAATAGGAAGTCGGAATTTGTCTCATGTTTTCTAACATGAACGAGACATCTTAGCATGTGTCTTAACTGAATGCACACTATTTTTAAAATTTGAATATAGTATGTCTGGTATACAGTTTTATGAAGCAGTTAGATTACCGAACTAAACGGTAGTATCTGACCACCTAAAATACCAGTCAAAATTTGTATGCTAACACCCTAAAATCGGTTTTCATAGTATCCGTAAACTTACGACTACGTCATATATCTATTTGATTTACCTGAAATAAAAGCGTTAAACATACAAAGCATCCTGATTGCATTGACTGAAAGTTACAAAGAAGGGTTAATATTTCTAATGAAAATTTGATTATACGGGGTGGTTCTTTTAGAACATGTAAACAATAGCCGATGGAAATAGTGTGCAGAAGGATCTTTCCAAGAAGAGAACAACATGTGTAGCTAAGTGGATAACATGATGACGTTTGAAGCTAATGGTACTGGGTTCGAGTCCCAGAGTGAACATCAACTCTAGGATGCAGATAAATCAAGCTGACGAGTCCCAAATAGGACAAAACACGCATCCTTAATTCCACTGATGGCCACTATCCATCATCCTTGCTTAAAACGTTTGTGACTTGAGGCTACATCAAGGCAGTCAGTACAGGATGCACATATGTCAACATGAGACATCACTTGCAGTCCTAAATAACAATGGGAAGATACAAGTAAAACAACACCAAGTGAAGATATGTATTACTTCAATGAAAAGATTTTATTATTTCATGCTACAAATCCCTAAATTGTTCAGAAACAACAGACCTAGAATGGCTGTTAGATTTTTACTTGGTTTAAAATGTTACTTATCCAACTGATTCTTGTTTCCCTTATTTTCTTTTAGTTTTCTCTAATTATCCATATAGACACAAATCGGTTGAAGGAGTGTGCCAAACTATCTCCTCAATTATTTTATTACATTTAAAGTATGGCTTTAGAAGATTTAATCAGTCCTATAATCTCTAAAGAATGCTTTTATAAGTTTACAAAAGAAGGAGATTTATTTGATGGTAATCTTTCGAAAAAACACAATTAATCTACTATTTTGTTTAGGTCCATGTTTTAAAGCAACTATTAGTAAATTATTAGGGTATGGAATAGTTATTGGCTCTTCACTTGGTAAGTAGTTTCAATTCCTTGTAGTCAGTAATTGTAGTTTATGAAAAGTTAAAATTCCACAAGTGATAAAAGTTGCAAAATGTAAAAATTCATTTGGTTTGAGTATACTTTCAATTTTACTTGAAATGATCTCTTTAACATCTGTAAGCGCTTACTCATTTGCTAATGGATTCCCGTTCAGGTAAATAAATATAACAGTTATTTTTCTTTATATAAAATTTCACTGAATGTATATTATTCATATTTATTGACTAGTTCGAACGATGTAGTGTTCAACCGGGTCTGTTGTGAGAGAGTAACTCACTGATGACAATGGTGGATGTACCGCTCAATCTCGTGGATTAGTTGAAGTTAGATATTAACACCGTTGGATGCCGGCTCAGTGGTCTAGAGGCTAAGCGTTCGCGCGCGAGACTGATAGGCCCTAGGTTGGAGTCTAGCGAGGCGGATTCGTGGATGCGCACTGCCATTGAGGAGTCCCACAGTAGGACAAAACGGCTGTCCGGTGCTTCCAGGTTTTCCATGGTGGTCTAGCTTCAATTGACTCATGATCTCAACTATTGAAATTACTATAATATGCACAAAAAGCTCTTCTGTTATTAATGTAGAATTCGACGTTTGTACAAAATTTCACACAGTTCTCTCAAGAAATGGTCAATGAGAAAATAAGAATCTGAAAGTTGAGCTGAGTGAATAATATGTCAAGTTACTGTTAGTAATCACGACTAACTATGTAGTTTCGTTCGGAAATCCTGAAAATACATTCGATGCATCTGTTCTTACAGGGGAGAAGATAAGGACCAATACATCAAATATATTTTTAGGATTTTTGAAAAGAGCTACATAGTCACTTGTGGCCTACATTCAAGTTGATTGAGACATAGTGTCTATGCCCAACCACTACCTTCATCGACGAGCAGTATTACTTAAAGTAGGAATTAGTAGGAAGAATAGTAGGAATGACCAGATGTGGCATCAATCTATAAAACCATCGACTGTTTAGGACCTTGGAGTAGTCGTTTAGTGGTTAGGGCATCCGAATTTCAACCACTAATTTTCAGTTCCGAACCCCAATTCACCTATTCTGTTTATTTTCTTCAGTAAGTAGATGTAGCGTCCAGCTCACCAAGGCTTATGAAGCTCCCAAGGTAAGTGAAATGATCAAAACTTTCAACTAAGTCACTCCCTACCATCAATTCAGGTGTTGACACAGACCAGCTCTGAAGCAACATTTTTCGCTTAGAGGGAAAAAAACGGATCTCAAAGTTAGGTGAAAAAAATGCTATTTCTAGGAGGACATCGACAAAATTAAATGAAAATGGGGATAGTGGGGAGCTTTGACGAACATCACTTGAAGTTTAAAGTTCTGATAACAGTTCGCCGTAAGCATCGAATCAACCAGTGATGCCTGAGTAGAGAGCGTACACGAAGTTGGTATACATCAATAGTACTCCTCTCAATGACAAACATTTCCATGAAACCTCTCGGTCAACAGAGTTGAACGTTACCTTAAGTTCAAAAAATACAACTATAGTCGGGCGCCTGAAAGTATCCATATTTTATAAAACTTGAAGAATAAGTATTTCGTTAGTGCATTTACGTCGAGGTCTGAAACCAATCTAGTTTTCCTGTGGTTGCTCTTCCCGAACGTTTGATGATTATAGAGACTAGTATTTTACATAATATATTAGTCAAACTGCTTCCTCTGCAGTTTCTACAGGGGTATTTCGGTCCTTTCTTAAAAATTGGAGCGAACAACAATCGAGATCGGTCAAATGATTACATACAGCCTCTAAACTGTAGCTAAGTACTTCATTCAGCTTAGCTGCTGAAACTGAACCAACATCCTTAAAGATTGGAGTTAATCCATCTGAGCCCTCTATTGTTCTTCGTTTTAGATTGTCTATAACCTTATCAACCTCGCTAAGTGTCGATTTCGTGTTCAAGTTGCTTAGAGATAGTCGGTAATTGGAAACCAATTGAACTGTTCTATAAGACTCTTTGTTCAGTCTGTTTAATATTCTAACTAGGAGTGAGTCATAGTTGCATCTTTTGCCGAGATGGTCTCACTAACAGTTGTCTCTTTCGTCTCTCTTGTTTTCGTTACCTACCATTGCTCACGACCATTGCGTAATCTTTCTAGTTTACTTTTGAAATATGGTCATCACTTAACGAACTATGTCTTTTTTTCTGACCTCTTCATTTTCACTCATCATCTACGGTATCAATTTTGTCATATCTGTCCATGATGATATATTCAGATATCACTCTATGATTAACATGATTAAGATCACTTCTTTACACTAAATCATGTACTATAAATACACTAAGTCTATTGTCACTTTATCAACTCGGATCCAATATCAATTTAATCCTTAGAATGCAATACATTGAAACAAAATACAAGCTACTTGTGAATTCCGATCACATGATAACATTAATTTTCATATTACCATGTCTATTGTCTAAAAACCTTAATAAACACTAACTTTCATGCGATTTATGAATTGTATTAATTGGTTGTTTATTTGTTTAGTGCTTATGGAGAAGGAGTCTTTTTAGGTATACAAAATTTCCTCTTGGCTATTATGGCAATAACTTGGACATATTCACATATTAAAGCTGTCCTATTCTCTTGTGCTTATATAGCATGTGTAGCTGTTCTTTTATCTCCAACACTTCCATTATCAATATTGATACTATTTCAAACAGTTAATCTTCCAATTATGTTATCATCTAAGGTAGTTAGTTATTTAATTATTGGACATATTCATTTCCCTATTATGAATTTTTGTTTTTTCTCTTTTTATTTGAACACATGGACATTGGTACAAGGAGGCACCTAATACATATGCACCACACAAGTCATATGATTTAGGTGAGGGCTGGGATAATGCTCAGGTGCCCAAACCGAAGCAGGTGGTTTTCTTAGGAGAGGTCACACCCGGAGCTTTCGACCTAAAGGTCTGGTGCACAAGGCAATAAAGCAAGGTCAGGAGATACAGTCCCATGGTAGCCAGTGATCAATAATTGGTTCATACGCCATTTGATTCCCCAGGATCCTGGATCCAGCCCATGTGCACCACTGGTTTGGAATGAGGGTTTTCCAACTCTTTTAGATGAATCCTTCTGTTATAATTCTCTCTTTTTACAACCCAGCTATTCCTATTGCTTAGTATTCTAGGACACCAATTCACTCGACAAGTCCCCCAAATCAGAACACGGTTGAACAGGAAAAGAGATTATATTCCAAATAACAAGGTTAGATGGAAGTAGAAGCACAATAGGGAAAACGTTAGTATATTTATAATTTTCACATGAGAAGATATCTAGAGTGTTCACTAAGTATTGGCTAACGCTGTTTGGATAAAAATTATCCAATCAGCGTGCGTCAACGCAATCGTGCATTGAGCATGATTTAATCCAATCTATGTCCCGCTAACACCTCCCCTTTGAGCAGATTCGTAGGATCTGGTGTTTCGAGGACGTTTACGCTACTTCTTGGGATGAGGCGTACGATTCGGTGGACATTGACCTTCTTTATGTTCACGTTTGTTGCACATCTGACATTTATGCTTCTTAAATGGACAGAATCGTACATAATGCCAATCACCACATAACCAACATGCAGTCGTTGGTTTGTTACGAGTTGTTATTGGCTTCTGAACTTTCAACCTAGTGATAGCATTGACACTACTGCAGGTTAAAATAGGGTTTGCCTGTTCAATCAACTCGTCGTGTCTGATGCTTTGTAGCCGCCTACACTCGTCTGTCAATGTTCTGAGTGTGACGTTTAAGTCTTGATCCAGTCGAGCCAAAAGTCTAGTTCTGATCTCAGCATCTTATGGTGACTGAAGAGCTTTGATGAATATTAAGCATTTAAATTGGGCTTCTGTCAACGAGCGTAACTTGAACCGTTCACATTCTCTGTTGACGATGTCTACTAGAACACCATATTCATCGGCTTCGCGTTTCACCAAATTTAGACACCGATATCGAATACTAAACAATGAGGATGACTCACCGAATATCTCTGACAATTGAATTACCGTCTCCTCGAAACTGAACTCTTGAGGTAACTTTGGCAATATATGGTCAGTATAACGTGCATGTTCATTGCTTCCCACCTTACGTACCAACAGTCGAGTCTTCCACGCGTCGTTTTGGTTACAGAATTCATCTATGATCCCGAAAGTGGAAATACTTTTCTCACGTAGTTCAAACGTTGGTAAAGATAAATTTAGAACAGAATTCTGTCGGCTAATAAAACTAACCATGTTGGCATATGACCTTGCTAATGGTAGTAAAACTAGTGTGACGATCCTGGCAAGTGTTCATTCACTTTCGTTTGTAAACATATCTTGATGATAAGCATCAAATCCACAAAACTTGAGCTAATCATCCAATCTTCTCAAAGTTTGACAATCTGAAGCTTTTCATGTGTGTATGTGTATGTGTTTGTTAGAATATACTTACGCTCCTTTTTGTTTTATCGATAAAATTCTAAACATTTGTCAGAGTTTTGTGGATATTATAGTAAGTTTAATAGTTGAGGTCATGAGTCATTTAAGGCTAGACCACCATGGAAAACCTGGAAGCACTAAACAACCGTTTCTTACTACTGTGGGACTCCTCAGAAGTGTGCATCTACGATCCTTCCTCGCGAGGTTCGAACCCAGGACCTATCAGTCCTGGCAACATTTATTCGTCCATTCATTGCTAAAATAATATTGGCACTGTTGAGGAGAGTCGCACAGTAAGACGAAACGGCCATCCAGTCCTTCTAGGTTTCTCATGGTAGTCTAGCTTCATTTGACTCATGATCTCAACTATTAAAATTTTCAGAGTCCTTATAATTTTCTGTTTTTCTTTTTCCAGATTGCTCAAATATGGACAAATTATTGTAATGGGAGTACAGGTCAATTATCAGCTATTACATTGTTCCTATTTGCTTTAGGTTCAACTGCACGTATATTTACATCAATTCAAGAAACTGGTGATAATCTAATGATTCTATCATGTATATTAGCTAGTCTATGTAATTACATATTAATGGGTCAATTAGTCTATTATTGGAATGTATCATCTGTTTCTAAAATTGACCACCACCACCACCACCACCAACAACAACAATATTCAACACGAAAAGTTAAAGTGAATTAGTTCTATGTTCTTTTTATTGTTACTATGTTATCGTTATTCTTTTGTATATGGATTTGAAATACGAACACATTATTCCATGTATTGTTTCAACGTGTTATTTATTTGTTTTTTTTAAATATTGGTTCCCATAACTTGTTTAAATTGGTTGCTAATTCATTTATTCATTTTAGTTACTATGTGAATTCATGATCACAATATACATGTGGGTTTTTATAATTAGTTTTAATAATAACGATAATCTTATTAATTTTCCTAAGGATTTATATTTCTCGGTTAGTATTAAGGACTGTAGTTGATCGGTGATATTTTTTCTAATTTGATAGTTTTGTGTATTTAGGAAACAGGTACTGGGTAAGGATGGCAAATCAATTGATGAAGTAGTGAAACTTCATCAGTTGAGATGGCTGGGACATGTGTTACGTATGGCCCAACCACCGAATGCCTCGATGTGCGATGTTTTATGATATAGGAGTAGGTTGGAAGAAAGCTAGAGGTGGCCAAACCAAAAGCATGACACAAATCCATGAAATGACTGACAAGTGAACTGAGCCATGTTGGTAGGTGTGGACTTACCGGGTTGGGATCCACAAGATGATAGCAACCGATGGTTAGAGACCTTGAATGACATGACTCGAAATCGTTTGCAATAGTGCAGGTGCATCCACTCTTTGTGTTCTCCCAAATTTTAATCTGCCAATCACTAACATCCATCGACGTCTTGGACGATGGGCAGAATTTTTCGAAGGGCAGTTCAACTGGCCTGCTGCTCCGGCAACATCGGTCAGACTGTCCTGCCCTCCATGGCCGGTGACGACTGATCCACCAAATGAGGAGGAAGTCCGCAAGGAACTCCAACTCTTGAAGCGTTACAAATCACCTGGCCCAGATGACTTACCTCCGGCTCTTTTTAAAGATGGTGGTGACTTTTTGACTAAGGAATTGACGACGTTGTTTACAAAGGTTTGGGAACTAGAGAGTGTACCAACGTCATGGAATGAGTCGATAGTTGTCCCTATCTTTAAAAAGGGTTCACGTCGTTCTTGTAACAACTATCGGGGGATAAGTTTACTTCCGATTGCGTCCAAGCTATTGGCTTCCGTCATTCTTCGTAGGTTGTTCAAAACCCGAGAAAGATTGACTCGCGAGGAGCAGGCTGGGTTTCGTTCTGGTCGAGGATGTATTGATCATATCTTCACCCTCCGCCAAATGTTAGAACACCGCCATACTTTTCAAAGGCCAACAATCGTAGTGTTTCTTGACATCAGGGCTGCCTTCGATTCGTTGGACAGAACTGTTCTCTGGGATTGTCTATTGAAGAAGGGTGTGCCTGAGAAGTTTATTAACATCCTAAAAGCCCTGTATAAAAACACCTCAGGCAGAGTGAGGGCATACAACCACCTCTCTCCATTGTTCCATTCGAGCAGTGGGGTTAGGCAGGGTTGCCCAATCTCACCATTCCTCTTCAACTTTGCCATCGATGACATTCTGGAAACAGCTCTGATGAATGTAAGTAATGGTGGTGTGGATCTGTTGCCTGGAGAAAGACTTCTCGACCTTGAGTATGCGGACGATATTGTCTTACTGTGCGATAATGCCCAAGGCATGCAATCCGCACTTAATCAGTTGGCAATCAATGTCCGTAGGTATGGTATGTGCTTTGCACCTTCGAAGTGCAAAGTACTTCTACAAGACTGGCAGGATTCTAATCCTGTACTCACCCTGGACGGTGAGCAGATAGACGTAGTTGAGAAGTTCGTGTAGCTGCATAAGTGCTGGTGGGGGTGTGAGTGATGAGATCAATGCACGAATAGTGAAAGCCAGAGCGGCTTATGCCAATCTGGGCCACCTTTGGCGCCTTCGTGGTGTTAGTCTGGCTGTAAAAGGCCGGATCTACAACGCGTCGGTGAGAGCAGTTTTGCTCTATGCTTGTGAAACCTGGCCTCTCCGAGTTGAGGACGTTAGACGACTCTCTGTGTTCGATCATCGCTGTCTCCGAAGGATTGCTGACATTCAGTGGCAACACCATGTCAGTAATGCAGAGGTTCGGCATCGTGTGTTCGAGCACAGAGATGATAACTCAATTGGTGTCACCATCTTGAAACACCGACTTCGGTGGCTTGGACATGTTCTCCGAATGTCGTCCCAGAGAATTTCACGTCGTGCATTATTTGCCGACTCTGGGACTGGTTGGAAGAAGCGGAGAGGTGGTCAGTGCATGACATGGTGTCGTGGCATGAAAGAAAGCTGCAAAGGACTGGCTTGTGTTGGTCCTTCACGACTCCCTGGCTGGGGTCCGAAAGATGGTGCTACACAGTGGCTAGAGACGTTATCAGATATGGCTCAGAATAGAAGCCAGTGGCGATCCTGCTGTAACCTTCTTTTACTTTCTTCATAAAAAGTGGTTGTGTCTCCTTTACCTGAAAGATTTCTTCTGATTGTACCTCTTCGTCATTACTCTCTCTTTCTTTTGCGTTCCTTAGTTTTTTTTTCTTTCTACTTCTCTTCGAATTCCCATTGTTTTGTGTGGCGCATATATATTGGCGCTCTCTTGTACCAATATTTATGTGTTCAAATAAATAAATAAATAAATAAATAAATTTTAATCTTCTGAATTCTTCATATCCCTGAATTTTTCTCATTCCAAATTTATTTCACTGGATTATACTCCTTGAATAACACCTTGAAACCCTAAGCTTTCCGATTACTGCTTATACTTATAACTTTTACTAATTCTTAAATGACTAGTGTTCGCAGTTTTACTTCGATGTATCGAATCAGTTCATTCATAATGTCAACTAAAAATATTACTGATACCGTAATTACCGATTACTTTTAGTTTTATCAACTGAATTTAATACTTTTTAAATGAAATCAAACTATGTGTCTGCCGGATAAATTATTTAAATTGATATCATGAATAGATCAATGTTAAATCCTTATTGAAAACCTGGAGGCAATGGACAGCTGTTTCGTTTTAGTATGGAACTTCTCAACAGTGTGTAATATCATGGATTGGATGAAGTAAAAGATTAACATTATCAGATGCCAGCAAACTTGGTGGTCTAGAAGTTAAGCGTCCGCGCGCCAAATCAAAGGTTCTGGCTTTGATTCCCGTGTGCGGGTTCGTCGATGCTCATTGCTGAGGAGCCACTCACTGGGACGAAACGACCATCTAGTGCTTCCATGATTCCAATGGTTCTCTAACATGAATCGGTTCATGATATCAAATTAAAAGTCAACAATCTCCTCAACCTTATACGGATAATTATCTTGTATTCATGTACCTTTTTTTTACACGTCATAAAGTAGATGATTCTTTCTATTCTCGATTAAACTGTATATATATGGAAACAGTTATTTCATGTCATTTTGGAATAACTCGACAATAAACATACAAAATCAAATACAGAATCAAGGGCAAGATATTATGTACTTGAAGCTAGAAAATATCTTTAGCTTTCAAATAATAAGTATTACAATAGTTGAGATCATGAGTCAGTTGAAGCTAGATCACCATGGAAAATTGATTACATTCATGTATACATGGTTTCTTGAGTAGCAATCAGCTCATTTTACCTTTACTAATGTACATATCAAATTGTCCTGGATATATAAGGAGATAATTCTTTTTTCACACATTCACATTTGAGAGTATTGATGTGACAACAGTTTGACTATCGGTAAAATCTAATCACAAATACAATGTGCACTGTTCATGAACAGTTTGTAGAAATTGTCGAATTATGTAATTGTGTACTACGAACAGATTTCAGTTAAATAAATCTTAAAAACCAAGAAGGACTGAAGCGCTACTTCTTGGTATAGGATTCCTCACTAGTACGCATCCACAACATCACATGGTGTCAAACATAGTATACTTGGCATTTTCTTATCCACGTTACTAATGGTTTTTAGGAAAAAATTTAGTTACCACATAGGGGAGGGGGTGTTTTGATATGAATTATTCAGTCTATTCTAGTAGCATGATGATTCAAGTAAAGACAATTGAATATAGACACCACCGATAGCTTACATTTTCATGTATGTAAATGTTAGGCTTTCAAATTAGAATCTGATTTCAATGAAGAAGGAAACATTAAAAAACTGGATATAAAATAGATGCTCTCACCTATTATCTGATCATAATGTAACTTCAAATTATTTCTTTCTAGCACAATTGATTTCTGTCTTGTTGTTCATGTAACTCATTGTTCAATGGTTTTTTGTGTAGATAAAACTATGGTATACCGAGTACCTTAAGTGATCAATAAAAATTAAAATAGTTGATAAGCAAAGATAGATAGTGGCTGGCAGTGGAATCAAGGACAAGCGTTTCATCCTGTTTTGGGACTCGTCAGTTGGATCTACCTGTATCTCAGAGTTGATACTCACTACGGGACTCGAACCCAGTACCATTCGCTTCAAACACCATCACGTTATCCACTTAGCTACTGAGTCCCGATACAGCTGAGGGTGGGTAAATCCAGCTCTCCCTCTCGAATGCTCTCATATGTGCACGTGCAACAGTTACTGACAGGGAAGTCCTATTCACTGCATTATTGCGGCATTACCGTTGTTTACGAAATTGGGAGGATGGAAAGCGAATGTCTGGCGCTTTAACCGGGTTGGTGGACACAGTAAGTCCACCTAGGGTGGATAAAGGCCCTAATTCCAAACCAATGATGCACATAGGCTCCAGTATCCTGAGGAAACAAATGGCGTATGAACAAGTTGTTTGTCACCGGCTACAATGGGACTGCATCTCCTAATGTTGCTCCAGTGCCTTGTGGGTCAGACCTTTAGGTCGAAGTCTCCAGGTGTGGCCCCCTAAGAAAACCACCTGCTTCGGTCTGGGCACCAGGGTTCTATCACAGTCAACACACAAATCAAGTGACTTGTGTGGCACATATGTATTCGGTGCCCCTTTGTACCAATATTTCTGTGTTGAAATAAATAAATAATAACAATTATTGTTGTGATCTTTTTACACTATAATGTCATTATAACCATTGTATTATGGTACTGCCACGCGATTCCCACCTATGTCATTTGGTTAACATAGAATTCAAGGTACTATATATCATGAGAAATCATTTATTTCATTGTATTTCCCCCTAAAACTCATATTTTCTCTATTCTTACTCGATTGTAGTTTTTTTGCATCGTTCGACCTATCTAATTACATACATCTTTTTCTCATTAGAAGAATCTCCCATTGACTTTCAAATGTTGTATCTCAATAATACATTCTAATTTTTCAAAAAATTATTTATCCCTTTTCCATTCTATGATATGTCTTAAACTATTTGTTCTTGACATTGAGGGTGAGACTATTATTTATAAACGACCTTTGAGCAACGCTAAAGTGACAGTGAGTGTGTCTATTTACTTACTATGACTAAATAAGGGCTATAAAGCAGTTTTGGAGGATATGGATTATGATTCACAGTTGATGGTTAGGGTTAGGAATTCGATCTACAGTTTTTTTTATCACGAACTGACATCAGCTAAAATGTCAAGATGCTATTTAGCCAAATGGGTGAATGAATTTCGAGTCAAAATCTAAGACCTGTTATCCTAAATCTGATTCATTTGTCCATAAATTATAGTCTCGCCACATTGAACTTGAGCTATATCCAGTTACAAAAAGCTGATTATATTGTAATAAAATGTCTGAAAGAAATAAACTACTGATAAGTAGTATACATCTCAGCATTAAATTATCAACTCCGATTTCAGCCTTGGAAGGACTACAATTTTTAATCTGGGCATATTGTAAAAACAATGATCATATAAAGAGAATCTCTACCGTTTCTCAATAACGTATAGTTTAAATAAACCATATAAGTTTCTTAGGATCTTCTAAGACCAAGACATTTCTACTTATTGGCTTTTTCAACCATCTAATAAAATTAAAAAGCCAATCAGAAAACAACAAATCAGTATCAATTTTCAATTATAACGAACCGTTGAATACATTGAAGTAGGATGATGACAAATGGAATAGTTTGAATATATGGAATTTTAAAACATTCAATTGTATAATTAGTTCGTTAGAGATTTGTGTTCAGAGTATGGTCGTTACATGTTAAAGAATTGAACCTCTTAACACTTATACGGGAACTTACATTGTTATTGTCTATTTAATCAACGTTTTACAAAAACATAACTATCATTTGCTATGATATATTTAACTAAGTCTTGTAAGCAAAGCGGTGGAATTCGGGACACATGTTTCGTCCCATTTTCGGACTTGTCACCTATATGTGCCTGCATTCCAGAGTGAATATCCAACTGATGAGTCTCAAGTAGAACGAAACGTGCGCCGTGAATTATGCTGCTAGCTATCATCATTCCTTGCTTATAATGTTTGTGACTTGAGGCTATCCTCACAGGATGCAAATATGTTAATAGGAGACTGATCAATTGCAGTCCTATACATCAATGGGAAGATTAAAACAACCAATATAAAGGAATTAATTAAGATTTAGTTTCCATACAAAAGAGAAAAGATACTCGGTAAGAAACTATAATTGATCATTTCTTTCTAGTTAGCATTGATCACAAAGAAGTATCTAGAATCTGGGAGAATCGATATCCTGTAATATATTTAAACGGTGTTCATCAAGTTCTAATATCTGAGGTATTACCATTGAGCGATTTAAGCCTGAACTGACATCCTATAAAATGTGATCCATAGAATTCAATTCGAATTGTGAACTAGACAAAAATGATATTGGTCACTATTCAATCTTCTAATTATAAGGCTAGTGAACAATATAAAAAAAATCAATGTTTTTCCATCTTGGAATTGAAATCTACGATACTTTTAGATCACTAAATATCAAATCTAATTGGGTAAGACATTTTATTACTTGCTTACTTACTTACGCCTGTTACTTCCAATGGAGCATAGGTCACTGACCAGCATTCTCTAACCCACTCTGTCATGTGCCTTCCTTTCTAGTTCTATTCAATTGCTGTTCATTCTTTTCATATCTGTCTCGATTTCTCGCTGTAATGTGTTCTTTGGCCTTGGGGATTCCAGGTGAGGGCTTGCCTTCTGACTCAATTGGGTGCTTTCCTCAATGTATCTCCTATCCACTTACAGCAAAGACATTACATAAATCTATTCTATTCATCATTTACTGTAACGATATTCGTTTCTATTTAGATATTCCTTTGTAAAACTACGTTTAATGTTATATTAATGCCTCGAACAAAGAGAGAGTGTGTGTGTAGGGAGAGAGAGAGAGTGTAGGGACAAGGGTAACCATATTTATTTATCCCACTTAACAATCGATATTGTCATCAAGTATAGCATAATTATTTTTGACTAAATCTATGCACATACTATTTTCTTAATTCATTAGTAGTTATTGCTTATTTTTATTTTATTGTCTTCATTCATATTATTATTATTATTATTATTATTATTATTATTATTATTATTATTATGTATTTATCATTTCAAGTTGATGTCTTTTACCATTCACCTTCTTCTTCTCATTCTTCCCTGTTTACTTGGCATTTTGGTGTTTATCAATGGAATAAAAAGATTGGTACAACCTAGACATGAATAATAATCATAATAATGATAATGTTTATAATCAATCGATCATTCAACCAATCAATCAATCAATCAATAATTTCTGATTATATATGAATGATTGACTTGATTATTGTTTATCAATGAATTAATTAATTAAATAGGTCTTGAAATTGATTGAATTTATTTATCAACTTTGTTTTTCTCTTATTTCGATTTATTTTTATCTACTTTTCTTTTTTTTTTTACATTTTCTTTATGTCTTCATTAATTAGTTTGATGATAAGTAAATGAAAACAAAACAAAACCTTATTTGATGATTAAATCAAGTTGCATTGAGTAATGTAGATGATGATGATGATTTGGACGATTTAGATGATGATGATGATGATTTGGACGATTTAGATGATGATGATGATGATTTGGATGACTTAGATGATGATTTGGACGATTTAGATGATGATGATGATTTGGATGACTTAGATGATGATTTGGACGATTTAGATGATGATGATGATGATTTGGATGACTTAGATGATGATTTGGACGATTTAGATGATGATGATGATGATGATTTGGATGACTTAGATGATGATTTGGACGATTTAGATGATGATGATGATTTGGATGATTTAGATGATGATGATGACGATTGGATGATGATTTGGACGATTTAGATGATGATGATGATGATTTGGATGACTTAGATGATGATGATGACGACGATTCGGATTATTGAGATGAGTGATGATGATTTAGATGATGATGACGATTTGAATGACTTAGATGATGATGATGTCAAGTTGGATGATGATGATTTGCGTGATGAAGATGATGATGATGATATACAAACGAATTACTTCTTATTTATATTTTTTCTCTAAAAAGCATTTTAATGAAAAGTCAATTTGATGTAAAGTTTCTAATTAGGCAGGTCACTGTTAAACTCTTAACTTCATTTCATAAATTTTGTTTAAATACGATTTGTAGTAAGCGAGAAGAAAATTGAAGACAATCGAATGTATTTCAACACAAAAATTACGGAACAACTTAGTAACATTTGAGAACCAAATATAGTCAATACTTCATTTGTAAGATGTCACTCAATCATCGTAGACAGTTGTTTTGAGTTCCAGATGTACTTCAGTTGTAAATATACTGCTCTTGCTTTGAAGATCCGCACCTTTACACCAGTATCAGATCCACCATGTTCATCATTGATGCTACTCAGATATGTAAAGACTTTTTCATCTTCCAGAGCTTCCTCTTTAAGTGTGATTCGATTGATGCATGTTGTGTTGTATGGAAGAATCTTGATTTTCCGTTTGTGTATGTTGAGACCTACTGCTACTGAGGTTAATAATAATAATAATAATGATATACTTGTGTATAATATATTCAATGTACAATGGAAAATGATTACAATAATCTAAGAACCATACAGTAAATATTTCATTTGCAAAATATCCATCAATCGTCTTAGACTTGATTGTTCTTTCATTTCCACAGCAAACATTCTCTAATCTCGTTCTCTTTTTGTTATAACTTGTGATCCTGTGTGCCCTGTTCATTGTATAAAGCAACGATAACGCCAATCAGAGAGCAGTGACTTGTCGATCGGATCAATGACGCGTAAACCCGTATGAGCAGTCTAGAGTTCTGATTGGTCCTGCTTTCCACCTAGGCCAGCCAGTTATGTTCAGAACACCAATCTCAGCCTCTGCGATATGAATCCTTATATTTCAAACATACTGAGTTTATATACCGATCAAAGAGACCACAACTTACCAATAAAATATGAAACAACATTTGCACAAGAATTAGCCAGATGTGGCTGTGAATGAGGGAAGTAGTAATTAATATAGTGGGTATAACTCAAGTATGGTCAAACGTATAATAATAGTTTATGGGTGAAAATAAAGCTTATAATAAGGGGGAATATGAATATGCATAGTTTAGTTACTTAATAATTATACAATAGAAATATACGTTCAGTATTGGTCCATAAATGGATCCCAGAGTTACCATTCATTATGTTTCTCGGGTCCTAACACTTTCATCTGATCTTCTTGACCTTCTACCACCAGGTATCTCACTTTCAATCAATGACACATACTACTTATATCTATCGACATCAGTAGCACACATCACACTATATGTTTTCAGTTTTATACTCACTGCTGTTCATCAATATTCATTTAGAAACTAAACTTAGTAACCTATTCTTTTACTAAACTAAATCATAATTTCTCTATGAGAGCCAATCAAATCGTACTGTGTTGTTGTTACTGCTCAAATCTCTACTATTCAGAATCATATTTTAGAATTATAACTAATCAACTATAATCTTAATCAAGTGTAATCTTTCATTTAGAGAATGAATCAAACGAGTGCATTCAATGCAGTAACAATAATAAGACTGATTCGCTTGTATCTTGATGAAGTTAATTCACATTTGTGAATTATACAATTTCACAGATTGAAATCATGAATCAATTGAAGCTAGACCACCATGGAAATCGTGGAAGGCCGTCCCGTCCTAGGATGGAACTCCTCAGCAGTGCGCATCCACGATCCCGCACTCCGCGGGATTCCAACCACAGATCTATCAGTCTCGCGCCAGGTGCTTAACCAACTAGACCTCTGAGCAGATGCTGATAGGTCCTGGGTTCGAGTCTCGCGGGGTGCACGATCGTGGACGCACACTGCTAAGGAGTCCCATACTAGGACGAAACGACCGTCTAGTGTTTCCAGGTTTTCCATGGTGGTCCAGCTTCAATTGACTCATGATTTCAATCTGTGAAATTTGTAAAATCTCCACAAACCCCTTCTGATAATTATACATTTGTTAATATTGTAGTAAACGAGAACAAACAAGTGAGGACAATCAAAGGTATTTAAAGACAGCATTACAGAATGTCTTAGTATAATCTGAGAATCATACAGTAAATTCTTCATTTGTAAAGTGTCAATCAGTCGTCTCAGACTTGATTGTTCTTTCGTTTACACATCGATCATTCTTTGGTCCCGTTCTCCTTTCTCTGATTTTCCTATTGTTCTGGTACTAGGCATTTCATTTTCGATTAATGATCTATACTACTTATATCTATCGATATCAGTAATGCACATCACACTACAACATGATAAATAATCTTTCATACTTATACATTTAGCAATTAAAATTAACTGAACATACGAACAAAATTAGTATGTATAAACTGTACTTATACTTAAATACATTTAAGTAGTATATGGAATTTAAAATAGATGAAAACATACTACTCAGTTTCAAAAAACTATTCAATTCATTATTCGAACTAAAAGTTAAATAATTAGTTATGAATGATCCTGTAAATAAAGATATCACCAACGGTTGAGTGTGAACTAGTAAGAAATTTATTATCAGAATAAGCTGTTGATTCACATCAACCCTCAAACAACAAACAATATGAAATACAATGTCGACTAACCTTCAACTGTAGATGTTATGTAACTTTAACCGAGAAAACGAAATAGCACTATGGACTAGTTAAATATGATATGAATGAGATCACAGGTTGGGACAACTGAATGTATTTAATAGGTGAACTCATGAGTCAATCTAAGCTAGATCACTATAGAAAACCTGTAAGCATTGGACGGTCATTTCTTCCTAGTATGGGACACCTAAACAGTGAGCATCTATAATCCAGTATGAGGACTCGAACCTAGGACTCTTAGTAATTATGAGAACCATACATTGAATACTTCATTTGCAAATTTTCATCATTTTTCTTTCACATACTGTACAATTCTTCCAGTTCATAATTGTTTTCTAATTCCACTTCTGTTTTCTTCAAGTTGACCTTCATAGCCTTCTGCTACCAGGGTTTTCACTTCTGATTGATGTTACATACTACTTGTGTCTGTCGACTGATATAAGTAGCATACACTACAATAGTTTTTACTACTTTGGATAATATAATTAATACTAATTATATTATTAAAACCGATGATCATATAACATCGACAATCATATCATCTTGAAGTCTTCATTTGGCAATTTCTAATCATTAACATTTACCGAACTTGCATAAATTCCATGTTTATTAATTAGAATTCGTTAATCTGATCATCTAGAAATTCTTATTCATATAATCAATTATATTGGAGCTAAAATAATCATAAATGCCCTGGTATGACTGAAAGTGGGGAGAGTTAACTGTTCCTTTCCAAATGCTCTCACATGGCAACGTGCATACTCACTGCGTTCTCACGGCATTACTATTGTTTACAAAATTGAGAGGACGAAAAGCGAATGCCCATGCGAGTTGAGGGATATGGAGGGTAGAAATAGGGGAGTTGGAAATCCCTCATTCCTTATCAATGGTGTATATGGACCCCAGGATCCTGAGGGAACGAATGGCGTCTGAACAAATTATTAGTCACCGGCTACCATGGAACTTCATCTCCTGACGTTGTTCCACTTCCTTGTGGATCAGACTTATAGGTTGAAGGCCCCCTAAGAAAATCAACTCTTTCAGTTTGGGCACCGGGGCAAGTGAGTTGTGTGGCGCATATATATTGGATGTCTGCTTGTATCAATGTTTATATGTTCAAATGAATGAATAAATAAACAAAATTATGGTTGATGTAGAGTAAGAGGTTAGAGGAAATAAGCAACATTCCTAATCAATGAAAAAAGGAAGTAATTTATCAATAAAAGAAAAAAAATTTTTTGTGACATACCACCGCAGATGAAAAAAGAAAAAATAAATTTCCTTTTGAAAACTGTAATCAATCAACCAGCAACAACAACAACCACCACCGCAACATGATGTGAATAATTCAATGTTTATCTATATGAGCTTGTTTGTCGGTTTATTTCACAATTCATATTATACTCAACATATGTATATATTTACAGCTTTATGTATGAATAAACTAAAGACAAGAAAGAAAAGGGATAACTTCTCTTGTTCCAGTTGATGAACATGTGAAACATTAGGAAATATCGATAAACAGTCTAGATATTTGATGGGAATATAATACACTATTATTACTACTACTACTACTACTACTACTACTACTACTACTACTACTACTACTACTACTACTACTACTACTACTACTACTACTACTACTACTACTACTACTACTACTACTACTACTACTACTACTACTACTACTACTACTACTACTACTACTACTACTACTACTACTACTACTACTACTACTACTACTACTACTACTACTACTACTACTACTACTACTACTACTACTACTACTACTACTACTACTACTACTACTACTACTACTACTACTACTACTACTACTACTACTACTACTACCACTACTACTACTACTACTACTACTACTACTACTACTACTACTACTACTACTACTACTACTACTACTACTACTACTACTACTACTACTACTACTACTACTACTACTACTACTACTACTACTACTACTACTACTACTACTACTACTACTACTACTACTACTACTACTACTACTACTACTACTACTACTACTACTACTACTACTACTACTACTACTACTACTACTACTACTACTACTACTACTACTACTACTACTACTACTACTACTACTACTACTACTACTACTTACTACTACTACTACTACTACTACTACTACTACTACTACTACTACTACTACTACTACTACTACTACTACTACTACTACTACTACTACTACTACTACTACTACTACTACTACTACTACTACTACTACTACTACTACTACTACTACTACTACTACTACTACTACTACTACTACTACTACTACTACTACTACTACTACTACTACTACTACTACTACTACTACTACTACTACTACTACTACTACTACTACTACTACTACTACTACTACTACTACTACTACTACTACTACTACTACTACTACTACTACTACTACTACTACTACTACTACTACTACTACTACTACTACTACTACTACTACTACTACTACTACTACTACTACTACTACTACTACTACTACTACTACTACTACTACTACTACTACTACTACTACTACTACTACTACTACTACTACTACTACTACTACTACTACTAGTATCGTTAATTGTATTAGTTTATAATAATTGTTAATAATCCGATAAATAGTAACCATA